GGGTAAATATCAAGGACCACAATTGCTGGATCATATGGCACGTGTTTGCTTAGTTTATAAGGAAATGCTGAACTGCCTTCCAAAGTGGCTGTACCATTTTGTATTCCCACCAGCAATGGATGAGAGTTCCTGTTGCTCCACATTTTTGCCAGCGTTTGGTGTTGTGAAGTATTTTGGATTTTGGCCATTCTAAAAGATGTATAGTGGTATCTCACTGCTATTTTATTTTATTCCCTGATGACATGCTATTTTCGTATGCTTATTTGTAGCTGTATATCTTTACTGGCGAGGTATCTGTTAAGACCTTTGGCCCATTTTTTAATCAGGTTGTTTGTTTTCTTATTGGTGAGTTTTATGTGTTCTTTGTATATTTTGGACAACAGTCCCTTACCAGATGTCTTTTGCAAATATGTTCTCACAGTCTGTGGCTTGTCTTCTCATTCTCTTGACATTGTCTTTTGAAGAGCAGAAGTTTTTTATTTTAATGAAGTCCAGCTTTTCAGTTCTTTCTTTCATAAATTGGTGCTGTAGCTAAAAAGTCATCACCATACCCAAGGCCATTTAGGTTTTCTCCTGTGTTACCTTCTAGGAATTTTACAGTTTTGTATTTTATATTTAGATCTGTGATCCATTTTGAATTAACTTTTGTAAAAGTGTAAGGTCTCTGTCAAGACTCACTTTGTTGCACGTGGATGGCCAGTTGTTCTAGCATCCTTTGCTGAGAAAACTATCTTTGCTCCATTGTACTACCATTGCTCCTCTGTCAAAGATCAACTGACTGTATCCGTGTGAGTCTATTTCTGGGCTCTCTTTTGTGTTCCATTGACCTATTTGTCTTCTTTAAGCATCATCACACCATCTTGACTACTACAGCTTTATAGTCAGTTTTGATGTTGGGTAGGGTCAGTCCTCCAACTTCTGTTCTTTAATATTGTGTTCGCTAGTCTGGGTCTTCTGACTCTCCACACTAATTTTAGAATCATTTATCTACAAAATGGCATCTTCATAGCTACAAAATAACTTGCTAAGATTTTGATTGGGACTGCACTGAATCTACAAATTAAGTTGGAGCAACTGGCATTGTGACAATACTGAGTCTTCCTATCTATGAATATGAAATATCTCTCCATTTATTGAGTTCCTCATTGATTTCTTTCATCAGAGGTTTGTACTTATCCTCATATAAATCTTTCACACATTTTGTTATATTTATACCTAATTATTTCATTTTTGGGGGTGCTAATGTAAATGGTGTTGTGTTTTAAATTTCAAATTCCACTTGTTCATTGTTGCTGTATAAAGAGATTAACTTTTGTAAATTAATCTTGTACCTTGCAACCTTAGTATAATCATCTACTAGTTCCAGGAGTTTTGTCGTTGATTCTTTTGTATTTTCTAGACAGTCATGTTATCTGTGTACAAATACAGATTTATTTCTTCCTTCCCAATATGAATATCTTTTATTTCCCTTTCTTACTGCTTTAGCTACAACTTCCAAAACAATGTTAAAAAGGAGTGGTGAGAGAGGACATCCCTTCCTTATACCTGATCTTAGTGGGAAAGCTTCAAGTTTCTCACCATTAAGTGTAAGAGATGGATCGTTTTATCTCTTGTTAAGCCCTCCAGAGAACATCCATTGTAGAGGGTGCTGAACAACTAGGTGGACAGAATGCATTATCACTTTAGAGAACAATCAGCCAGTTTGTTACAAGTTGATTACACTGGACCTCCTCCACTCTGGAAGGGGAAGTGATTCATTCATCCTGATGGGAACTTATACATATTTCAAACATGGGTTTATCTTACCTGTCCACCATGCCCCTGCCAGTACCACTACTGAGGGCTCACATGGGATCCTACATAACATCGGATCAGACCAAGGGACCCACATGAAGGGACTAAGGTCAGAGAAGTACGACAGTGGGGCACACAGACCCAAGGTCTATTAGTCCTATCATATACTACATCACTTGGAAGCTGCCAGATTATAACATGTTGGAATTACTTGACAGCAGATGATGCCCCGTGGGACTGAGGTGCTGCCCTTCACGATGTGGTATATACACTGAACCAACAACCAGATCACATGATTTTGGGAACCAAGGGGTGTAAATAGGAGTGGCTCCTCTCACCATCATTTTGTTACTTGGGGGATTTTGTGTTTCTTGATTCTGCAGCTTTAGGCTCTGAAGACTAGTGTTTCTAGGCACAGTAAGAGTTCCAGTTAATCCCAAGTTATGATTGCTGCCTGCGTATTTTGGGGCTTTTCAAGTCATCAGGCCAGAAGGCAAACAAAAGTGTTACCATACTGGCAAAAGGTAATTGACACTAATTGTTACCAGGAAGTTGGGGTGTTGCTATACAATGGGGCAGCAAGAAGTTTTCCTGGCTTTACGAGTCACAGGGATGCTCCTTGGGGATAACAATAAATGGGAACTTTCACTATGACAGCATGACAAGGGCAAAGTAATCACAGGCTCAGACCCCTAAGAGAGGAAGGTCTGGCTCACCCCACCAGACAAGCAATGCTGACCAGCAGTAATGTCGGCTGGAGGGGAGAGGGAATCTAGCACAGGCAGTGGGAGAATGTGGAGATGTTTCCACAGTGTCTCAGGGGGTCCCCAGCAGGACTGAGCCCCAGCTGCCTATAGTGGTACTCCTTTCAACTCGTCTCAGGTCCTTATTCTCCCACAGGACTTCATGGAATCACTTCCCAAATAAACTATCTACACCCAAATCCTTATCCTAAGGTGTGCATTTGGGAGGACTCAAATAAGACCCTTTCTAACAAGATTATCATGAGATCTTTGACAAGCCAGCACTATTTAAAGGTGTAAACATCTCTATAAACCCTTTTCAGTTCATCAGAATGGAAATACAAAATAGCAAAGGTTTTATCAAATAGGATTACAAATTCAATGTAGAGCAATATTTTTCTCATAATGAGTTATATAAAACATAAACAAATGATCATTAAACATTAATATGATTCAAAATGAAACACAAAATGAGAAAAAATAAACTTAAATGTTGAACAGAAGAAATTAACAAAAACCCTTTACATTTTATTTTTGTCAGTAAAGGGTCTGGGTCATAATTCAGTAGGAATCTTGAATATTTAAGCTAAACTAAAGCTTTATGAATTACAGCCACAGTGCACAGTGTATATAGCTTAGCACACTGACAGTTCAATCAGGGCTGTGGAGGCAACATTCTCAGAAACCCAAAGTGTATCAACTAAAAAGGCTTTCTGTCTTAGTTAAATGAGATACATCTTAAAACTAGGAAAATATTTTAAAAATTTAATACTGCATTTTGCTAACCATATGAGTTAAAATACACACACACACACACACACACACACACGGAGTGACAAAACCACAGCAGAAAAAGTATTTATATGTGAATCATCATTTTGATTTATGTCAAAGAATGCTAATTTTTTTATCTTAATGTGGGGCATAGTTAGGTTTTAAGGTTTCATAAATATTTTTGAATTTATTACTGAACTGGAATACACTATATAGAATATTTCAAAGTTGCTACCAAAGAAAACAAGGTGAAATTCTACCTAGCAACATAGGTTTCTCAACATAACTTCCTTCCCTACAGGTATCAAACTAAGAAATGTGCAGGGAGAAAATAACGGTTTTTGAAAGATACACAAGCCAGTTAATCAAGAATTCTGTTTCTGAATTATACAGAATATCGCAGTCCATAAATAATGGAATGTTTTTTGGAGAGAGAATTAATTTTGGCATAAAGAAACACGGGGTGAGACTAGAACCCTCAGTGAAAGCTCTAAAAGGACACAGAGCAGGGAGGGGATAGCTCAAGTGGCAGAGCACATGCTTAGCATACACAAGGTCCTGGGTTCAATCCCCAGGACCTCCTCTAAAAATAAATAAATAAATAAACAGACCTAATTACCTCCCCACACTAAATAAATAAATAAACAAACAAATAAATAAATTTTAAAAAAGGACACAGAAACCAATGAGCGACCTGAATAGTGAGAGACAGGTGAGGAACAACCATGCAACAAGTGCTGGCTTGTTAGTGGCTTTTTCTCCCTCCCTTCTCTGATTCATTCGTCTTTTAAAGACTGCCTTCTGTGTCCTTTTGGGGGGAAATTATCTTACCCTTTATCATTTGTTCCTTCAGTATTTTAACATAAAACCTACAAGAAAAACAACAAATTCAAGGCTAGTATTAAAAGCTTGAATAAAAATAATAGCAAGCCTTATCCTCCGATCAGTAAACTCTTCTTGGTAAATAAAATCTTCATTTGTGGACATGGGATGACCTCTCTTAGCAGACAGCGCTCATTTAGGGTGTGACCTTCTGCTTTTGGAAGTGGGAATAATTACTTTCTACATAATGTGTTAACAGTAAGTACTTTCCTTCCGAGGTATCACTGCTTTAGGGACTTTATTTTGTTTACCCTTATAGTATTGTCGCCTTACACAGCTGTAGCTATGATACCTAATTTCTAATGATTTACCCCAAATCACACAAGAAAAAGCAGGATGAATGGAAATACAACTAAAACCTCTTGACAATGCAGTTACTGTAGATGCATATAAATAAACCATACTCAAAAGTTGAATCTGAGGTCTGATAACTCATTTTATGTTGAAAAGAAGCCTTTTAAAAAATGTTCTTATTTAACATGTAATTTAAAAGAATATTCTGGAAAATGAAGTATAAAAATTAATTTATTCTTTGTCTAGATACTTTCTCAACTATAGAAACACAGGATGGCTCTGACTTTTTCATCAGTAATACAGACTCATGATAAGTTGTGCTACAAAAAAATGTCTGACCCTCCTCTGATAAACACAACATTTAGAAAGACAGACCGGAGTTAACTGAATCTTCATGTGCATTGTTAATTTTCATTACAATTTTGGTAAAAGTGCTGCCTATAATAGATGGTATTCACATTTTCAGTAAATTCATATATTTTCTTGATGGTTAAATAGAGAAAACAAATTAGATTCCATTTTAAAAAATAAGGTTTATTTGTAATAACTATCTTTAATAGTTCTATATTTATTTTTACTCTGGGAACGCACAAATATAGACGCTAGCTTTAACATTTATTGAAAAAGCATACTCCTTATACTAATGCAAAAGGAAAACCTTCTTCCCACTCTAAAAGCCTCTTCTTTACTATAGAGAACTCCCACTGCATTTGAACTAAGACTCTGGGGCACTCGGCAGAGAGGAGTTAGGGACAACCGGCCAGAATGATTCAACAGGTTTCTCTCTTTTCAGTTAGGTAACTTAGATAGGAACTCCAGTCCTAAATATTAGAAGCAAAGTCTAAATCTTAGAAAAATAAAAGAGAGGGATTATAACAAACTGCTTCAAATACATGCCTGAGCTGGGAAACAGCCCGTACTTTCACGCTGTGGCAGCTTCTAGACAAAACCTTCAGTTTTTAATCTTCAGGTTCGTATCTGGAAAGAGATATAAATTAAGAGCATAACTGCATGATACTTTGTTGTTTTTACCAAATGAGTTTACTTAAAACATTTCCAGTGACTGAACCAGTAACATTTCATTTTTCACTTAAAATCACTGCTACAGTAAAAGTCAGATACGTTCCAGGCATTAGGAGGGTGACTGAGGGGAATCCTGCAGCAGGTGGTTCGAGAATGGAGCAGATAACTGCTAAGACATCGTCAGACCCCCAGTCTCTGCACCTGCCACTAGAGCCGTGACAGCTTAATAGAGTCGAGATCCAGTGGTTATCTAATCGACTGCCTGATGGACACAAATACCTGATAGGGCTTTGTGAGTAAAGGGTTAACATATCCCCTTCTCTAAGGACAAATGTGATCCTGGATTCACTTTTTAGCTCTGGTCCCTTGGGACCCTGATAAAGGTAAAATGTCAGCTGAGTTTCCAGGCAGAACCATTGATGACAGAAATGACCCTGATAAGAAGACTCCATCTGGACCAGGACAACTGTGGACAATTACACATCCACGGTGGGAGCCACGGCTTAAGCTTCCTTGGGGGCAGTGAGTTCTTGTATCCAACACATCACTGCCTGGGTGTCACGTGACTGTACTAGAAACACTGGACCTATGTGGGGCACAGACTTCTAGGCATCGCTGGCTTTGGCACCTTTCTGCATGGGCCTTATTTTCTAGCACCTAAATTGTCACATGAGGGCACAGTCTGACAGCTCTTGGATTGCTACAAGGACACTGCTGAGGAGAAACGCCCAGTGCTGCCCTGCATGCTTGCTGTGGTTCCTGTCTGATACCTGCTAAGAGAATGCACTGCAAGAGTAGCCTCGTGTAGTCCTGTGTGAGCCTAAAGGTCCTGCTGAACCCAAAAAGAAATTCTGGTGGGCATTACAGACAAGGCCTGGCCAAAGTCCCTCTGCCTTCCTCACACACAGGCTTCTGGACTGAATGACAGAGCAACTCCCCACTGGCCTGACCTCTCCGGACACAAGATTAGACTTAATGAAGGACAGACATCAACCCAGCAGGGTGACAAATCCGGGAAGCTGGAACAGCATGGCTTACTTTGCCAATCTTTTTCTCAGGTCTTTGATTTGGTCATTCTTCTTTGTAAGCATTTCTTTCATGTTTCGATAAGCTGCTGTTTGTTGGAATTTCTTCTCTAATTCCTGAATAGCAAAAAAGTCAGCTCATTACTAAGAAATTGTTATGGAAAGAAAGAACACATCTGATGAAAATGTATATTTTTTGCTTTAATTTTACTAATTTTCTGCTTGTATTATATTCTAATTTCTTTTTAAAAATATGTTTATATAAAATTAAGACTATCCAAACTTAAAAAATACATTCTTTCAATGAGAAGCCAATAAAATAGTAACATTTCCCCAAGTACAATATTAGCAAATAAACATACGATGCCCTAGACATGGGAAATCTATTTGAAAAAGTAAATTCATTTTCAGGTAAAACAAGCATGCTCTTTTTTCCAAATCCCAAAGTAGTGCCAGTATTTAGAGAGGAGGGTTTTTAATTTAGTTACATTTTGGCTCCCATAATCCTAAGAGTCTAACCCCTAAAACAAACAAACTGTTCTCTACATATTTCATATAAATTAAGAAAAAAGGTATAGAATCCTTTAAAAAAAAAGCCACCTATCCCTCTGCCACTGTCAGAGGGACGAGCAGGAAAAGCAACGTAGTAGGTGCAGGGTAGCGGATGTAAGCCACCTGGGGGGAAGTGTTTACCAGACAATAGGAAGGAGTGCAGGTCTCTTAATGTCACAGATATTTTAGTGCCAAAGATGGGAGAATCTCAGTGCCCAAAAATGATACATCTTTAGAACACAAATTGCCTAATACCTTGAGAAAAATTAAAGTGACTCTGCAATTGTCTAACATTTCCCTTAGTTACACTTACACCAGGTTCACCACTTAATTGGACGTGAACTGACAAATCTGACCTTTTCAGCCATGCTCAGCTGCTCCTGAACCCTGAGGAGGTCGTGCTTGGCCATGGCCAGATTCTCCTCCAGTGACTTCTGGTTTTCCGTCTGGTTGTTAAGTGTCTTCTGAAACTCACTCTTTAAAGCAGCAACTGTGTTTTCCAAGTCACTCAAATCCTGGGCTTTTACAAAATCCTATGAAAAATACATAAATTCATATAATTTCATTCTAAATAGTAACTGTTTTAGATTCAACACGGCTGAGGCTGTGTGTCACATGTGCACGTCAGCCTCCCCGCCAGCCTCCTCTGCTGCTCCAGCTCCAGGAGGGTCGCCAGCACACTCAGTTCACCTGCAGCCCACAGTGCACGGTGTCTGCACCTAGCAGGCACTCAATGGTCGTTGATTTTCAAGGATGTAAAATATGATTATGAACTGCTGGAATTCCAAAGAGGAGCAGGAGAGGGGTAAGATCCTAAATCTGACAGGGTTGTGTGTCCCAGAACTGGGATGACAAACAGGTTTCATTTTAGAAAAGTTAAAATAAATCCTTAAGAATTTTGAATGATACATATGGAAAAATAATAAAATTAACACAATTAATATAAAAATGTAACAGGCATGTTTTACTCATGTACAATATTATGAGAGCCTAGTTAATGCTTACTGATTGTATGGCTTGCTAAATTGACAAGATTGTAAATTTTTATATTGATTCAATATGCACATATTTGTACACTTTGTCAGTGTAATACAAGCACAGCTGGATCTTCTCTCTAACTGGATCCTGTTTTAACTAGATAAAATTTATAACAGAAAAAAAAGACTTATTAATAAGACAGGAAAATAGTTTATAAATGCTAAATATGAAGATGAAGCAGTACTATCAACAAAAGAATTCCTTACTCATTTTTGAAATCTGGTCTTTAAAAAGATTTTATTTCATTGTATCTAGTGAAGACATGTACACATTTTGCTTTTGCCAAAATCTTAAAATTAAAATTGGAGTAAAGTCCAAGATGGCTTTTAAAATGAATTCATCATCCAAAAATGTGTGCAACTGTTTTACTTTTGAGAAATTATAAAGCTGTTCTGGAGTATTTAGCTATTTTATAAATTTATGGTCCTTGGTATATAATAATTGAAAATCATATATATTTCATTTTTTAGCCTTATAAGAAGTATCCTTCTATTTAAAAAATATCTACAGAGGAAATGATGTAATCTCTGAGATTTGCTTCAAAAAACATGGGGCATGTTCATAGCAGCACTATTTACAAGAGCCAAGCAAGTCATGGAAGCAACCTAAATGTCCATCAACAAATGAATGGGTAAAGAAGATGTGGTACAGACACACTCAGTGGAATACTACTTAGCCATAAAGAGTGAAATAATGCCATTTGCAGCAACATGGAAGTTCATACTAAGTGAAGTAAGTCAGAAAGAGAAAGACAAATACCATATGATATTGCTTACATGTGGAATATAAAAAATTGACACAAACGAACTTACTTACAAAACAGAAAGACTCACAGACATAGAAAACAAACCTATGGTTACCAAATGGGAAAGGGGATGGGAGAGGAATAAATTAAGAGTAATTAAAAGTTTGGGATTAGCAGATATAAACTACTATATATAAAACAGATAAACAACAAGGTCCTATTGTAGTACACAGGGAACTATATTCAATATTCTGTCATAAACCAAAATGGAAAGGAAATGAAAAAGAATATATATATATTATATATATATATGTATAATATGTATATATATAAAACTGAATCACTGTGCTGTACACCGGAAACCAATACAACATTGTGAATCAACCATACTCCAATAAAAAAACTTTTTAAATTGGGGCGAGGGAGAGGACAGTAGAGGTGAGCATGAAGCCAGGCTGGCCATGCCTTGATGCCTGGTAAAGCTGAGTGATGAGTACCTGGCGTGCATTACACTATCCTCTCCGTTCCTATATATGCTCGAAATTTTCCACAGAAAAAGCGTAACAAAAGGCTAAAGAAGTAGGTTTGGGGATTGTTCAGTAGATATATACGAGGGCACTAAAACCACTAGGAAAGTCAATGCTACACTAAGAATTCACTCAAATGGTCTTCTGACGTGAAACCCTATACAGCATCTAATCTCCATGGGAAGGCCACAGGAGGCAGAACTGTGCCCACGATGACCTCCAGCAGGGGGAGTGACACCCAGTTGTTCCACTCAGACAAGCTGGAGAACTTCGACACTGGACTGCGCTGTTACACAAGCACTGCTGGACACAGATGGCTCTGAAGATGCATGACCGGTAAACTCATTCTACTGTATCATATTCACCAAAGGGAAACTTGAGTAATAAGTTCTATATTAAAAAAACCCCAATACAAATTTCAGTTAACTAAAAACTCTTCCTTTTTTCATTTCTTTTTCCCCAGTAATTGGAATGGCAAAGTGAGAGGAAGAACTTTAAAAAAAATAAAGTTACGAATATCTTGTATGCCAGCAGGCTCTGGGACACATGAGGCACCTGAGCTGTGTATCTGTCCCCTGACATCACCAGGCTCTCACCTGGCCTTTCCTGCACAAGGACATGACAATGCAGGACAACAGTGGTGGCCTCCTTCTCAGGGAGTGGTAGATGGAAGGGGCATAATAGTAATTAAGATTTCATATACGTTTATAACTTGATTCTACTTAGAAAATGTGAAAAAACAGCTAAAACTTAATTCACCTTTTGATTTCCTTGATCAAGCTGTAAATCTTGCAGTGCTCTTTCTAGTTTCGACTTCTCATCCAATGCATTTGTTGCCTATAATCAAGTTTAGACAAAATACATTCAGTATTTAGTCTCTAAGTAACTCTTTCAATAATTTTGTTAAAGTATTTCTTGGTTACCTGTGTTTCAATGGTCTTCAGCCTTGACTTTAATTTCTCATTCTCTTCTTGAAGTCTTAAAATTTCCTTTGTGAGTAAATTCAAGTTTTATTATGTTAGCCAAAGTATTTTTAATACTTGAAATTACTTGTTTCACTTAAAAATGTTAAATTAAATTTAAATTACATAATAGCTCAAATATCTGGAAGCCCTGGTTACTGGTAATATCCCAGAGTTTCACCCAGCCCACCAGCCTGAACTCCTGGGAGTCAGCTTTGGATCTAAGACTTCCAATTTCTTCTATCACAGTCTCCCAGACTCTTTTCAGCCCTCTGTTCTCAGTCTTTCCCCAAAGTTCCCCTCCACTGGCATCTCTTGCCCACTGATGCTGCAACTCTTGGGTCTATTCTCGGCCTACACTGCACATCATTTGCCACTTATCCTAAAAACACAAACTTCATTACTCTGACACCCTGTGCCCAGCCCCTAAAAGGTCTGACTGAGCTGCGGCCAAAGGCCCTTGCTCGTCAGCTCCACCACGAGCATCACAGGTCAGTCCAGTCTTACTCGTACTCTGCCCCAGCACACGCAGCATCGCTGGCCCGAGAGTCTACACTCTGCTCCAGTCGTGCCAGCCTCCTCTGCCTGACTGCTGCCCACGCTTCTCCCAGCCGGCCATGCCTCTTCTCTTACCTCTGACAATACAATCTGTCTTCACCTTACAGCCCAGCTCAGGCACCAAGAGTCTGTCCTCAACTGCTCTTATCTACACAGAACTGTGTCTCCTCTGCCACCCTGTGCGTACAGGTTAGCAGTCTCCTGTCTGTTTCTAGAATATTAGTTCTCACTTCCCAGTGAGACTATGAGGTTTTTGAGGGCAAAAGGCTAGGTATTATGTTTCTCTTTATGTAACATAATGTTGTAATATCTAGCATAATATTGAGAATACAGGAGTCATGAAAAACAGTTGTATATTGGTAATTATTACAAACCTCTTAATAAAAAAATCTCTTCATTGTTACTGCAGATCAAAACTTCCAATGTCTATCAATAAACACTGTCCCAAATCCCATGCTCTTCACTTCACCATGAAAACATGCAACCAAGAGCTGCACCAGACTCTCTGGGAGGTAAGTGTGCCCTCTTCTGGACCACTGGGTACCAGGGAGTACAACTACTGCGGTGGCTAATTATCCTTGGTGGATCGGGCCTGAATCAACTCCTTCCACCCCGTCTCTCTGTCCTAGAGCTGTGCCAGCTGTGAGCACACACCCTTAGAGGGTTTGCCATTTCTTGAAATGATGGCAACATTACCTTGTTTAGAAGTTCTGCTGTTCCACCTTCGTTAAGTGGAGCAAGTTTTGGCTTTATGTTATCTATGATGGGCTGAAATGAAAAAAGAAACCAAACTGCAATCACCACCGAATAAATCATGTGAAATCACTGAACACTTGTACTTCCTAAGTGGAGAAACAGTGTAAACATATCCACTGGGATGTCAGCTAGATTTTCATTGGTTTGGTTCTCTGCTACACCCCAGTGCTTAGGACCATGCCTGCCCACGGTGCCCAATGCAAGTTAGACATGAATATGAAACTCATCCTTCTTGTATCTTAAAAAAATACATATGAAGAGAAAGGAGGGAAGAAAGGCACTCAAATCCAGAGCAGATATAGATCCTGGTATCTAGGAACTGGATTTAAGCTGTGGGAGCTGAAACAGAGGTTTCTACATGAACTCCAGACTCTGGGAAAAACTAAGTTTGATGGGGATTTAGGTGACTATACTAAAGATGAATAACTTGGCACAAACATCCAGGCAGTTTAGCAATATGTATCAAAACAAAAGAATCCATGCCCTCTGACCCAGAAGTTTCTTAGCCAGAAATACATGCCAAAGGAATAATTAGAAAATTGTTTTGTACATGTATGTTCATGCGTTCACCTTAGCAGTGTTTCACTATCCAAAACCACACAGTACATATGATGCCTCAACACAACAGAATGCTAAGCGGTCACTGCAAATAATGAGGATTAAAGAGAGGAGTAGGTAACTTCTAGTACTGTCTCCACTCGACAGGTGAGAACGAGGCTCCGCCACCTCAGGTAACCTGCTCAAGGTCACACAGTGCCAGGATGCACACACAGGTGTGGCTACCCCCAGAGCCAGTGGCCAACACCATCCGAGTCGAGCCTGCACGGCTGGAGTCAGGTGGACTGCAGGGATTTCATGCGTGCGCATACACACGTGTGTGTGAGAGATGGTGGACAAAAACTATGTTTTTCATAACTATTCCCAAAGCTTTTCTTTTTTTGCCTAAAATCTGAGAGGCAAGTTTTGAATTCTGTTCTTGAGTCAGTGCTTTTCCTTGAGGGTTCTCACTTTAACCTCTGAATGCTCTGAGTGACTTACGGATTTTAAATACTGGCTATTAAGGAATGGACTTAGAATGATCAAAAATTACCTTTTTATTTGAAGATGTAAATTCTGCCTTTTCAAATTCTGCAACTTGTTCTAATAATTCTCTTCAAGATAAAAACAAATATGAAAAAATATTCATTTAGAATAGATTTGTATCACACACACAAGATTAAAAATACTGGTACAAATACATGACATGCCAGCGGCAAGAGAGCAAGAGGAACAGAACTTCGTCATATCAAAAATGATATTTGGTTACCAATGGCCAAGAATCCAAACCCCATGGACTCAAATTTGAATCTTCCATAGCACCTAGTATTATAATTGCTAGAACTAAACTGCAGTGTAGGTATAGCTCTGTCTGAAATTTGTAGTCAACTCTATTTTTGAGGTTCTACCAAGGGAGATTGCTCTGTGATATAATATACATTGTTAGTTAGTAGATGTTTGAGGAAAACTGATTTTAATAGAGTAGCTCTGGAAAAAAATGGAATTAGTTCATATCTACTGAAAAAGAGTATGACAAATTTGCAAGGAAGGCAGATGGTTTGGGGGTGATCCGACTGAACGTTCCCTTTTATTTGCAAAGGTACATGGAGGCTAACTATACAAAAGCTTACAGAGTGAATGGCAGTAACTACTCTTGTAAGATTCTTAATAGGTCAGTTTCTCCAAGTTTGCTCATCAGTTACCAGTTACCCACTGACAGTTAATACCTACTACACTTAATACTACTAAGTGTGAATTGTTGGTACTTGAATTAATTTTTCAACTGTTTCATAATCTTTATTTCTTAGTTGACCTATCTCTAAAGACTTACTACAATACTGATCAGGCTAATAAAGATACCGTAAGGAATAATTAATAATAGCCTGGAGAGTAATCTCATCAATCTCGAAGGCATTTATAACACTGAGGAACTGAGAAACAGAGCATCTTGAAGAGGACGCTGAGCGGCACCTAGGAGATCACTCAGTAACTGGATGCTTTGCTGTTACCCTACCTAAATTTTCTCACACACCAGCCCCAAGAAAAGCAGCAGGAAAGATATTCACTAATGTTTAGGTATGCTTGGGCCTCTATGGTCATAATTGTGGATACAAGTTTTATTACCTGTTTTCAAGTTCAGAAATGTCTGTCTGTAGCTTGAGGTACCACTTCTCAGCTTGTGAGAAGAGCTGGCGCAGAAGGAGCACGTTGGTGTAGGCCGTGTTGATGAGCTCAGACTCCACCTCGCTGTGGACCACAGCCTGTAACCCATTCAGGACTTCGGAGACTTCATCTATGGTGAAGGTCTCCTCCACCAGCCTGAAAAACAACCATGATCCAAAACCTCTGCATAAACAGCAAAAACCACGTCCAAAGTAAAGCACAACTAAAAAACTCACATTCATGTCACTTAAGCGATTAAGGGGTTAGAGTGAAAATCCCATCTTCTTTATTAATAAAACAGTTTGAAAATAATTTAAACTCAATTAACTTTTGATGTTTATTTAAACGATTAAACTGTGACTCATTCTTCACCTGTGCACATCCTTTAATCTAAGTACATGCTCAGAAACCTTCCCCAAGCTATTGACTTCAGGTTTTCAAAGAAAAACTTTTTACTTTAATCTCTACTAAAATTAGTCTTACCACATTTAATTATTTCATAAGTCACCTGAGAGGTGTAGTTTCTCCTTTCTTTGTATTACTTGTCTAGCATTTCAATGACAGTATGAACTAGTCACACGTTAGTAAATGCCTATGAAAAAATTATGGGTAATTATACATTGCTTCTCTTAGCATTCTTGAGATCCAAAAGAAAGAACCCTAACTTATCTTAGTTAAACTCCACTGACACTGACCACACCATAAAAATGAACATCACCATCAAAAGTATTAAAAATTCAGTCTCCCAAGGAGAATGTTTTGGGGGGGAGGGAACTTCGGAGCCATTCTTCAATCTCCTCACTTCACAAATGGAACACAGGCTCAGAGGGTGGCGGTGACAAGCACACGGTCCCACTGGGGGTGACCCAGCCCCACAATCATTTCCAGCAATCTTAGTAACACGCCCAGCAGCTGAGTCCTTGAGACAGCTTCCACGCACACCTCCTACTTTCAATGAGTTTTGTAGTAACACAGTCCTCTCCCCTCCCTGCCGCCACCCTCGAGGTCCTTTATCCCTCACACACTCAGCGGATGAAAAACTACAGCCCCAATCCCAGGTTCTCTTCTCCCTCCTTCCAAAAGGACACAGTGAAGGGAGCTGCACCAAAGGCTTATCACAGTTATACTCAAGTTAATATTGTTTGATTTACCATTCTTTAACATTTCATTTATCTAGCGGAATTTAACCACTCTAAAAAACCCCCAAAATTTAACAATTTTTTTGCACATACTTTTTTTTTTAATGGAGGTACTGGGGGTTGAACCTAGGACCTTGTGCTTCCTAAGCATGTACTTTGCCACTGAGCCATAATCCTCCCCTTAACTATTTTTGATGCAAGTCCTTATTAAATATATATTAAAAATCTTTCCATATTCTTTAATAGAACAAATCAAATATGCTTAAAAATATACTTTTTTTTGAGCAACTCAAGTTCATTATTATGAACAGCAATTAAGGTACTTCAATGCATACAGTAAATAATTAAATACTGTCTCCAGCTGTCTCACAGCGTTACCAACTAGATTGCTGCTTACATCTGCTTGGGTTAGGAAGCCAGATGATCAGATTAGATTAATAGATCAAACAGATAACGGTCTGCAGTTGATGGTTTCTGCTGCTGAGTGAAGTTCATGACTTTATGAACTGGGAGGCCTTTTTCATTAAAGTGTGCCAAAGTCTGCTGCCCAAGTAGTCTGATGTTTCTTTATTAGTCAGTCCTTTGGGTTGGTTTCCCTATTATCCCCTATTATTAAATTTTCTATGGACTTTTATTATCTTCCATTATTGGTCCAACCAAACTAGTAATCATCTCTTGCTATAAATCAACTAACAATTTTCATACCAGTCAGCAAGCTTTTCAGGGTTTTCTGCTGTTTTCCCCTCTTCTAATTCTTCAATGTAAACTGCATGGGTGTTTTCTTACTAATTGCCATGTCTTATGGCCCTAATCGTTTAATTAATAACTCAAGTAATTAAAGTTCTGGAATCTTTAATACAGCAAGCCAATCATTAACCCACAAGCACTTCACAATCTCTTAATTGCCTTTTGAAACTCTGCAATCTCTTAATTATGGTATGTGCATGTTCCATAATGGATTGCTCCCACCACAGTCTGACTTCTTGGGTTTCACAATCCACAGGGCTTAGTGTAGCTGCTCTCAGTGAGTCACTGATCACGATCCCCTGGCCAACGGTTTGTAAGGCCTCTGCTGCAGTACCCACACACCGACCACCAGAAAGGATCCACGTTCTTTCCCACGGGGTTTCTTTAGAATCCTCTGATACCTGCTCTCCTTGAGGTCTTGGAAGCAGGAATCCACAGTTTTGAGTCTCAAGCCTCTTTTTGAACGAGCAAAACGCATATAATTAATGACTTCATTTTGATGGTGTTCATTGAGCCCCAACTCTGCCTGAAAGAGAGAAATAGTTTGTTAGTCTTAAAGATACAATAAAGGAACCGACAGTGAAAACATACAGGCTACCCTGCGGTGGAGATTGCTAGATGTCCACTAAATTCTGTTCTTCCCATCTTCCTGGACACATGGCTGCCCAACTAGAGGACACCCCCAGCCCTCCCTGAAGTCAGGTGTGGCCATGTGACTACCTCTTGGCAATGGATGTGGGCAGAAGAATGAGGGCTATTTCCAAAGCCTGGGCCTTGAGACATGGGGTATACCCTGGCCACACGCTGTTTCGCTGGAGGAGATGGTGACTGCACTGAACCATGCAGACAGCACAATGCCCTCAGGATGAGGGAACATCAAGATGAAAGGGACTCATGCCCCTAAATGACTTCCTGGAGCAGCATTGGCCCACGTACCTGAGATGAGCAGTGAGAGGGCTATTAAGTGTGAGAAAAATAAACTATATTCTTTAAGCCACTGCTTTGGGGATCTCTATTAATACAACTTAACTTTATCCCATCTCATACAGCTTTAAAAATATATATATTTGGTTTTGAAGTAGCCATTCACTGATCTTGATTTTAAACCAGATGAGAGCTTAACAACTATAAGCTAGAGATTAATGATTTTTTTTCATTTTATAGCTATCCCAGAAATTAAGGAAATTATAAAACTGAACATCTAATGCAGGGGACTAAATGAGTCAGAATTATCTTTATTTTAAGAATAACTTAATCTAACACAGCCTTCTCATGGGGGGCAAAGGTCTAACCTGCAAGCCTCTCTTCCAGGGTTCCCTCTCACTCTCGGCACGCAGGGCTGCCTCCAACACTGTGGAGGACAACACCAAGGTCATTGGGCATGACCTCCTTCACCCGCCAAGTCCCTCACCTTGGCTTTACTACATCCACATACATCTTACCTCCTCTCAGCAGTTTCAGTTTCTGTAGAACATAGTCTAAACAGAGCCAGGACCATGCCCATCTGGTCCCTGAGTATCCCCAGGACTTCTCATAGTGCCTGGCACACAACAGACATGTGCCCAACAAGTGAACTGAAAGAGTTCCTCCTTCTGAAGGTCACTACTCCGTGAGGCCTTAACTGGTTCTCTTTCAAAACTCCTGGGGGACTTTATTTAACCAATTATCCCCCCTCCCAACACTCTATAGGTTTCTTCTTCCCTTCAGACTACACAGAAGACTGTGTACATAACCTCATTCATGCTAAAAAACACAAAAAACACCAACCGGAGACCCCCCCAGCTACCACTGCGTTTCTCCACTTCCCTTCTACTCTTGCATTCTCCGTTCTATATGCTAGTCAAACCGCCTTTGTAAAGCTTGCCATTTGTAAAGCTTGCCAGCAACTTCTTAATCACAATTGCAAGTACCACGGCTAATGCCTTGGTTGTCAGCTGACCTGCTCCATTCTTTGGCTGCTAACCCCATCTTCCCTTCTTGATCTCATCTGTAGGCTTCTTTTCTTGGGCTTGCCTCTTAAGCACCTGTACTTTCCAGGGCCTTACCCTTGGACCCTTACTCTTGCCACTCTATCTCCTCTCCTTGATGACATAATCTATCTCAAGGTTTCAACTGTTATCTATATGCATCTGACTCTCAAGTCTAACAGGCTGACAGATGTGTATCCCCAGCTGCATGATGAACAGCTCCACTGAATCTTTTTCTCTCCCATATTGTTTTTAGCATTTCTACAATTCAAGACGTTAAAGTTTAATAACTTAAGAATTATCCTACAGGGAACTACATTCAATACCTTGTAATAGCCTATAATGAAAAAGAATGTGGAAAGGAATATATATATATATATATATATATATATATATATGTACGTATATATGTGTCTCTGTGTGTGTGTGTATAAAACTGAATTACTAAGCTGCATACCAGAAATTAATATAACATTGTAAACCAATTATGCTTTAATTAAAATAAAAATTACCCAGGATATCATGAGGCTTCCTAATGGTTATTTATCCAGCAGACTAATGTTTCAGAACAAACAGCTGAGGTATTTTGACCAATGTAAACCAACACATTTGAGGTAGGTACTTACTTTAAATTTCATGACTCTACTTTATTTGATTAAACTAGTAATTAAGATTTTGTCTTAGGGCTAGATAATGTGAATGGCAAGAAGGAAGAAGTTTCTTATGTTTTGGTTTACACTATTAGCCAACTCCTTGAACTAATGTTGAACATTAGAAAGAATAATAGTAATGATGATAACAGAAAAGTCATTCAGAGGTTACAATGTGTCAGGCATGATCTCATTTAATCCTCAATACAACATCTATGAAAAAGGTAATATAATCCTACTTCACAGACAGAAAACTGAGGTACACAGAAGAAGTTCCCCCCATGCTACTGAAGTGGCAAATGGGAGACCAGGGATCTGAACCAGGCACTCTTAACTTCAGAGTCCACACTCAACTTTGCTGTTTCAAATCCTTTTTGGAAAATGGTAGAATTTAAATAAATAAAAGAACATATATATGTTATAGTTGCATATGCACCTGAGTTGTGACTCACATAAAGGCAGATTTCCACCAGGCATTAAAAACAAAACAAAACAAAACTGATACCTACATTAGAAATGATGTTATCTTTAACAGTTTACATAAGTATGGGCAAGAATATCCCACAAATGGAAATATCTCACAACAATGTCAACAACTTACTTAAAAAATCGCATTAACAAATTTTCAATCATTCTTCATTGTTTATAGTATTAAATCCACACCTGCAAGCCCTCCGTACTCCCTAAACTCTTTCCCTAGCCCTGTTTCCAGGATTCTGCTGTAAGAACACGCTACTTCAGTCAGACTAGTCTGCTCATCAGCCCTCAAGCATGTTTAACACTTCCTGTCTATTCTTTCACTCTCATTACTCCAATCCTTGACTAAAAGTACCTCTCCATTCCTATTCAAGAATCTAAATCTGACAGTGGTGTGCTGGTAAATGCTTAACAACAGGCTTTTGGGGAGGGGAGGATGAAATTGATTTGCAGCCCTTGCTGATTTCCTTGGTGCAAATACTCCCAGCACGGCTGATTTCAAGCTGCCTATACAATGTCACTGAATGCAGAGATGAGAACAAACGCATATAACATAACTAGCCAGTATGAGCATGCTCCAGAACCCCCAAATTCCTACCCATCCTTCAAGACCAAATCTGTTTTACCTACTCTGTGAAGCCTCCCAACATACTCTTAGTAACTCTAGTTATGCATTCTCAAAAAACTAGCACGTCATCTCTGCTACTCATTTGGCACCACTGCAGACTGATTACTACTCTGTACTATTAGCTGTCTTTTCCCCCTAGGTGCAATTGTAAGATTGAAATTGAATCGTTTCTTGTACCTCACAGCTCCTCCTAGAGTGCTTTGTGCAGAGTAGGTGGCCAGTTCATGTTGTTAATTATTTTCTCTTCTGTCAAGAAAAGTTAAGACTATCCTAAGACTAAGAAAAAAATCACTTAAACAGAGGATAAGCTTTAGGACAAAAGACAGAAAAGTTCCTCTAAAATGGATAGAGGTGAAGAAAGGGAGCAGAAACAGGCAGCTGAGTTCAGGAGGAGAAGCTACATCAGCCCCTTTGCTTCCCCATATGCACATGTATACACTATATATACACACGAGTCACATTATTAGAGAGAACAAGGAAGGGGCTGATTGTGGTGTAAGCAGACAAAGCACTGGATTAAAAACCAAACTTAAGCCTAGCTATGTAACTATCTGTTATATCACTTAACTTCTTTGACACCAGTTTTGCCATCTGTTAACTGAGACAAGCAGATACGAGAGTCAGCTTTAAAATATGTAGATACAATGGGAGGTACCCACATAGGGAAATCAGAGTTTGTTTGAATTTTGTAGCAGAAATATTCTATTAAAATAATAATTTAAAAAAAGAGCTAAAAACATTGAGCAAGAATCCTACCAGAGCATTGCCAAGCTAGTGCCCTGAAATAAATGCCACAAAGGGAGGGGGAGGGGGTGAAGGTACCAGAAATGGTTCTCTGTTCCTGACCAGGCCCTAAAGTCCATATACAGTTTTACTATGAGAAGCATAAGGAAGAAAATATAATGATAAAAACGAGCACAATCTAATAAAACCCAATATGTATTGAGTGCTTAATATTTTAACAGGTACTGTGTGCTGTTTTATATGCATTATCTCATTTACCGTTTTAACAATCTTAGTATACTTATTTTCCCTGCAATTTACTAACGAAGAAACTGAGCCTGACTCCAAAGCCTCAGTCGTTAAGCAAACTGATAGAAAGGAATGACAGAAGCTAGAATGGGAGCAGATGTCAATTTTTCTGTGACATCACCATCATCATTTTTTCAACTTGTTCTTGGTATTTTAGGGAAATCAAGAGAATGAGTAGGACAGGCTCTAAGCTCAAGAAGGGTAGGGAATGGTCTATTCTGTTCACAGCTGTACTCTCAGCTGCAAGAAAGCATTTGGGACGTAGTGCGGCCTAAATGGGACTTCTAGTTGCGAAATATTTCACTAGCCCATTTCAGTGGTGCCCCAACCCTGGTTTCACTCTTTTTTTTTCTGAACACTTCAATACTGTGCTTTGTTCTAAAAATGGTTGCTATTTAAGTTGACGTGCTGTACCCGCTGGAGTGATTAATGGGGTATGCTCTAGCATACAGGAAAACATGTCCTCTCCTGAACAGGTGAAAACAAAAGAAATGTCACTCAAGGTTCCTCAGCTGTAAAACGGGGGCTGGGACTCTTAAAGTCACTCCTATATCAAAAATTGGATTCAGTCACGTTCTCCCTCCTCTGCTCGTTAACATAATTAATACTGCCAAAGGTGTGTGTGTGTGTGTGTGAGAAAACGTGGAGTTTTTGGTTTTGGGGGATCGACTGAGAATTCCTCCCTAAGCCTTCTGCTGGCAGCCGGTTCCCTCCAGCTTTCTTCACCAGCCACCTGCGAAATGTGTCTTGGCCTGTGCCCCTCAGGCAGCGGTGAGGAATGAAGCGACGCGGCGGAACGCGGGTGCTAGGAGATGGCTCCACCTAGGATTATTCCAGAAGAGCCTCGGCCGAGACTCACTGAGCCTCCCGCACCCGGCGCAGCCTCCCCTCCTCAGGGAGGCCCAGGGGCGGACTCAGACCCGCCGCAAGACACGCCATCACTTGAGGCCCCGGCTCCGAGTCTTTCCTCGGCGCGAGGCGGCGCCAGCGGGCGGCTACTCACCATGGCGGCGGGCCTGCGGGAGTCAGCGGCCTAGAGAAGTGGGAGAGGCCAGGCTCAGCCTCGCCAGGCCCGGGGTCGCCGAAGGAAGTTGGGCCGCAGAGTATGGGGAGCGAGGGCGGGTTGTTTAGAAGCCTACGGTTGCTAATGGGAACCGAGGCACGTGACCTCGCAGTGCTGCACTTTTATTGGCCCTCCAGATCATGCGACAGGAAATGCCTGTGACTGGCCGACCGCCGCATGCGCATTGGCTCCCAGAGTCGGGAAGTCCCTCCTTTTCGCGCCACGCTGACTTTGGGGGTGGCCGCCGTTGCCAATGGTAACGGGGGCTGAGCAGCAGCCAGGCGCTCCAGCGCGCCTCAGGGTATTAAGAGTCTGCAGTGTTGCTCGGAGCTTGGACCGCACTTACTGTGGCCTGACGTCCTCTACCGCCGCGGCCTCCAGCGCTGACTCCGGACCTTTCAACGGTCTCATGAGGTGTCAGCGCGCGCGTCCTAGACTTTCTCTTCTCTGCCGGAGTTCCTGCTTGGCTGAGATAGACCAACGGCAGCCCTGCCGCGCTCCTGGATAGAGCTTTGAACAACCCACCACTCCCCATCGCTCCCCCCACTTATATTCCTGGTGAAAATCGCTAATATAGCAACTTTTCCCTTAAGAAAATTAACAAAGTTGGTGAAAGAGCAAGTCAATGTCAAACTATTATGCCTAGAATCATCAGGGAACCGTGTTGAATAAATGCTTCCCTGGCCTCACCCCCAGAAATTCTGACTCACGAAGCCAAGGTCGGGTCCTTGGAATCTGCAGTTTTTACTGACACTTCAGGATTGATCATGGACCACTCTTTAAGAAACACTTTCCTAATGTAATTTGGTGCAGCCACTATGGAAAACAGTATGGAGATTCCTTAAAAAGCTAAAAATAGAGCTACTATAAATCCCACTCCTGGGCATATATCTGGAGAAAACTCTAATTTGAAAAGATACATACACCCCAGTGTTCACCGCAGGACTATTTACAATAGCATAGTCATGGAAGCAACCTAAATGTCCATTGACAGAAAAATGGATAAAGAAGATGTGTGTGTGTGTGTATATATATATATATATATATATATATACACACACACACACACATTTATATAACAGAATACTACTCAGCTATAAAAAAGAATGAACTAATGCCATTTGCAGCAACATGGATGGACCTAGAGATTATCTAATTGAAGTAAGTCAGACAGAGAAAGACAAATATATACTATCGCTTATATGTGGAACCTTGAAAAAATGACACAAATGAACTTAGTTACAAAGCAGGAATAGACTCACAGGCATAGAAAACAAACTTGTGGTTGCCAAAGGCAGAAGGTGGTGGGGTGGATAAATTAGGAGTTTGGGATTTGCAGATCCTAATTACTATATATAAAATAGATAAATAATAAAGTCCTACTGTATAGCACAGGGAACTATATTCAATATCTTGTAATAACCTATAATGAAAAAATATGAAAAAGAATATATAAATATAACTGAATCACTATGCTGTACACTAGAAACTAACATAACATTCTAAATCAACTATACTTCAATATAAAATAAGATTATTAAAAAAAAGCCATGAAACAACCAAAACATCAATCAATGGTAGTTAAAGCATTATAATACATCTATATATACACAGCTGGTATAAAAAATTAGGGGCAGGTATAAAGAATTAGGATATATCACTAAGTAAATAAAGCAAGCTGCAGAGCACTCCTAAAAGGGATGGATTATTGCAAGTACCAGGGGGTTGGGGCTGGGTGGGTGAAAGCCAATGAATGGGTACAGGCCATCGAGTGGGCACTTTAGAGGCTCAGAAGACAGAAACAAGAGCTGATACAATCACTGGGGAGGCAACCAGTAAGCTGAAAAGTGAGCCCTGCTCGATAGACATTGAAATGACAAGGAGCACAGAGCCGGGAGCTTTCTGAGAATCTGGGAGACTTAAAACTGAAGGGCGGAAGGAGGGTATAGTTCAACTGGTAGAGTCTGTGCTTGTCATGCACAAGGTCCTGGGTTCAATCCCCCGTACCTCCTCTAAAAATAAATTAACCTAATTACCTCCCCTCCACCAAAAAAACCAAAAAATTAAATAATATAATAATAAATAGAATATTTTTAAAAACTGAGGAGAGGACATTTGGCATCATCTCTGATTCATGAATAAATAAGCTAATTTAGGTAATGCTTTTGGGGTTTAAGTTGATTTTGGCTCCTATACAGTGCAACTTAAAATGGACCACAGTTGGAACCTTAAAAGTCTAGATAGGATTTTAGAGACCTGGTTCCACCTGCTTAATTTATGGATGAAGAGACTCAGAGTCAAGGTCACATGTCCAAGACCTCAGAGGGCTAGGTGGGGGCATCTGAAGTTGAATCTGTGATGAAACTAATACAAATATGTTTTTGAGAGCAAAACCAGAAAGCAGGTGTGAACTATTCTGGTACAGTGCATGCTAAGTCATACTCTGGTTTCAAGAATTTCATTTTTCTTTTCATTTATCACCACATTCATTTAATGTAAATGATATACCAAATAATGTACGAAGCTTAGTAATTGTCCCAAGAACTGAGCTCAATATTTTTTCAACTTGAAACTTTCATTGCTAGAACAAAGTGGTAGCAGATAAATTCTGCAGAATAAAGCTAACTTACAAATGGATGATGTCCTTAGAAAAAGAGGTGCAGCAATGAAAACATGTTTACTAGTTAAATAGTCAATACAGTAAAATGTAAGTAATTTAAATGAATAATTTTCGATTCAGACAAAGTTAGAGCTAGAAGAAAATAGTATTTTCAGATGAGGAAAGGCAGGTGAGAAAAATAGTGTCTTGGCCAGAAACAGAAGCAGCAGAACCAGGTCTGGAATCCAAATCGCATGACTAACTGGCAAGAGTTTCTCGACCATTTAATCCCACCCAGATACAGGTGACAGGGCTTTCTCTTCCAAATTCATCCCTACCCCTCTCTCTGTAAGGCCCCTCACCCTCTGTTTAAGGGATCTTATGAGTGTCCCATGACTGTTGAAAAGCAGGGGAAGAAAAGGCAGTCTACCAGCTTGGACGGGGCTTGGCAAAGTCTTGGGGCACAGTCAGGAGTCCTTTGCTTGGATGATCCAAGGATGATATGCAGACAGTTGCCCACAGAAGGGCCTCAAGCCTCTGGGACAAGAAGAACCGCCGACAAGGCTCCCTTGTGTGTAACCTGGAGCACTCCCAGGCATGGAAGGATGGCCTGGGGGCTATCACTTTGGCCTCCCTGTGGTATCTGGGAAGAATCTCTGTCTCCCTGCAGGGTCTAAAGGGCAGGTTCTCATTGCATCCCTTGTCCCCGCTCCCCCCAGTATGACTCCCTCCAAGCCCAGTTAAATTTCTACTTTACCATGCCATCTCTTACATTTCTGTTCAATGAGTGTTTGTCGAATTTGGTGATAGTTGCCATTATTTAGTACCCACAATAGAAGAGACATATTCCATTTCAGTAACTAATCCTCAAAATCTTTGGTTCTTTCTTACTACAACAAGCATTCATTGAATTCATATAGAGAGGTCACTTTACTAGGTGTTGTGGATGCAAGATAAAGAAGGAATTTCATAAATACTTTTATGACTTTTACATAAACAAAGTTGTTCACCAGTTTGCATTTCTAAGGAAATTGAAGTGTATTTTCCTGCTGGCAAACTCCTGTGCTTGCTGTGTTACTATTGTAGGGGAACCAAAACAGTGGGTGGGTAATGCAAATATTTCATTGGTGAATGTGTGCGTGGCTTGGGGATTCTTAAAGTTGTTCTGCAAAGCTGCATCAGCTAGTTTTTTTTTTATTTAAAATTCTATTTTTATCTAAAATCTTCTGTTCCAAGGATGTTCTAATATCACTGTTAGCCCATCTACCCAGCTGAGCTGGATGTTGTTACATAAGCTGTCTAAATAGTGTCAGCAAATACGAAGATGTATTTTGGTCTTCGGTTGATGAGTTTGGCTCAGGAAAAGACTGAGCTTGTGCCTGGGGTTGTTTACTAGCTTGGGTTGATCAGCAAAGCAAACAATCTGAGCTGTGAGGGAGAACGGCTCCACCCTGCTTTAATAGTGAGCTTCTCAGCCTCACTCTAGTTTTGTTTTTTTTTTTTCAATCGCTGTGACAGTTTAAAAAATGTGCTTGTGTGTGTATGCATACGTGTGTCCATCCATTTGGAAGGACTGGGTGGGAGGTATACAAACAAGGCCATTATGTACCTTTTAGCAAAGTTCAGTATAACTAAAAGGAAACTCAACTGTCTTTTTAGATTCTTACAAAATGAAACTTTTATGAGTTTGTAAATGACTAGTCATAAATAGCACCAAATTTCAGGGTGTTTGCCACCTAGACTAGGCAAAGGTAGGAATGGGAAGGTGATCATGGTCTTAGCAGTGCTGACAGATCCTCTCACTCCACCACTATTGACCGAGCACATTTTGCGTGCAAGGTTCTGTTGCCATGATGGAACTCCAGGGAAGAAGTGAAGGGGTTCAGGAAGCCCCAGGCTCCCCTACTTGATAAATCTTTGGTTAAGGTCTGGGGGACTGAGGTGAGGTTTTTCTTGAGTAAAAAGGAAATAATAAAATGATTAAGTAAGAAGTAATACAGATAGCACACAAAAGTCTTGAAGATTATATGGGAAAGAGGAAAGTTTGAGAAACACTAATCTGGTAGTGGGCAGGAAATGGTTAGGGGAAAATCATTTGCGCGGTGGGGGATTATCTTGAAGAAGGCAAGGCCTTTGGAGTTTGGCTTCGTATATGAGATGTTACCAGGGTCCTCTGCAACTCCCACCACCATGCGCAGTCACGACTCAGAAAGCAGCCAAGATGTTAAAGGAAGATCTCAGGACTCAAAGGCTTCACAAGGAGCTACAGCATTTGAGTGGGTCTCTAGTGGGCAGGAGGCTATTTTCAGTTCCCCTGCTATTTGCTGGTTCAGTCGGTTAGTTTCAGGATGCTCTAGGTGACCCACAGAGTAGTAGAGGGTGCTGACAAATTAGATTAGTGAAATCAATATCACATGCATTAAAGGAGGTCAGGCAAGGAAGTGGTTCACCATAAAATACTACAACTCCCTTTAGGACTGTGTGGATGACGGCAATTC